ACAATATTTCAATGTCATTCGATTTGTGAGAGCAAAGGAGTCCAACAGAAGAAATAGGTTCTCAGATTTTTTGACCACATGCAGTCAGTTAATGAAAACTCTTCGATCAAATAGTACCAAAATTTGCTGCAAGCACAAGCAGTTATACAGGTACACTAGTCGGGGTGAAGAAGACACAATGGACCTCTCTCGAGCAGGGATGTTTTCATGACGGAATTTGCATCTATCGGCCACTTTCATACTCCAAGATGATGTTATTATGGGACACTACCAAAGAGGAATACTTCAGACAATACCAATAAGCTATTGAACCCTTTTGGAATTAGTGTTGACTATAAACCAAAATCACTTCGTAAGAATTGTCGAATATGTTATGCCTGTCTATCTTCTTTGCATCAATCTTCACTCCCCAACACGTTATACTTGTAGGGAAACTACACTACTTAATCACTGACTCCTGTTCCATTGACAATTTCGCTGTATTTGTCTTGAGACTTACATCTATCTGCCTACCCGTTGGGTACCTGTGACCTCTATTCTGATTGGTTGTTTTTATCCCTCTGATTTTGTGCATCGACTATTCTTGATCATTTGCCTAGTCTTCCGGTCTGAAGAGCGAGCTCCTTATTTTCATTGTACAGTATTTGCAGATCGCTTGGCTGGTACTTGTTGATTCTTCCCGGCAATGAATTCAGCGACTTCTTTCTACAGAAACACCACAGGTTAAGGTTTCAATTTCGATTACAAATGTTATTTTTGCACCACCGCCTAAACAACAAACCTCAGCATTTCTTTTCTGGATTTCTGAGATTTAAAACCTACATAATCTAGTTTCCTCTGCCTTTCTATTGGTTATCGTCAAAAATCTATGTTGTGTGCTAATAATCTTATGGTTGCCATTATTTCTACCAGTGTAGTCACTTACTCCGTAACTTTACGGGATACTTTGCATTTTGTTATGATATTCACATAACTTTTAATCCACCGCCTACATTACAGTACATTACTTCATAATAACATTTTCCACTGGAATAAACATCCACACTTATAAATATATTCCTTCATTAAATTATATCTCCTCATATCCTTATTGCCAGCCCATATTCATATCATTTAAGTACAAAGTGATTATTGAGCAAGGCGGTCATCAGTAAAAATTCAAAGTGCATACAGCTAACTGCGTACACAAATACAGTTGCAATAATTCTATTGTCTCAGATTGGCAACAAATTTCTCATAAAGCCTTGGGCTTAAATTAATTAGTAATCAATAGGTTCATTAATATAGACTCAACAATATTCAGATGATTAGTAGAAGGGTATGCAATCACACATTATAAAAATGTCTTAAAAACAGCCAATCAGATCACGAGAACAAAACTACGTAACTTATCACATTTAACAGCTTTGTGATAAACTAACTTATCATTTACACGGGTTGGTTACCAACGGGTGACCGATGTAGATGCCTAGTTCTTCATGCCTTGCACTGATCGAAGTTAATCTACGAAGTTTTGCTATTTGGCCATAAAGTGAAGCGGTTTGATAATGAGGCGCACTTCATTTTGGTGTTAGACCGTGGGAACACTAGTTGCCTCATAGTTACAGACCCACCTTGCTGATGAACGCCAGAATGCACAAAACCTAGGTCCACAGCTGTGTACTGATTTACCATTTATCGAATAATTCTATATCCTCCCGTCTTTTGATATTGGAGAGGGTGCCCATATAAAGACAATAAGAGATTAACAATTAATTGATCCAGCTGAGTTGCAAATCTTTTGCCGCCACTTCTTTGTTAACTGATTGGTTCAACTTATCATTTGTGTGGGGTAACTATTACTTGCTTACCAATTGAACGGATAATGATTATGTGCAAAAACAACTTGTTTTTGTTGAGTTTCTTGTTGTTAAACAATCAATAAATCATTGTATGCTTAAAATGTGAATGAGTCATTTTAATACATGAATCACAGATGCACTAAACACCTAAAACAGTTCACGAATATTATTGTAATTGTTAGTCTTGTGTGTTAGTTAAGTTACTTATCAACCTATTTTAGGATACATGAAATACTCAGATTCATTCACTAAGAATTTGAATCGATTTGTATGAAACGGTGAAAAGTATGTACACAGTTGTTCTTTAGTGAAAATAGTTTGTGTATTGTTTGTCTAACAGAGATTGATATACCTTCTCTAGTGGCTTTTATTAAGTTATCGATTAGATTCCAAGCGCAGTTCGATGAAGCCAAACTGTGTATATCGATGAATGTGAAATTGAATTCAGATTGGTGTATTTCACAACAACTTTACAATTGAAAGTAAGAATGTTAATGAACAGCGAATAGACTTTTTTAGACATGAATCAAAGATTCAAGATTTAATGAAAGATTTTTAAAAACGTGAATCAATTCGCGGAGTGACTTTAAAGGTTATCCTAGCAACTGTTGAGATAACCAATTACATTACTTTATTTTATGAAAAACTACCTTCGCAGTCGAAATCTGATTGGTTATTTGAGCAGCAGCTAGGATTTCCTTTAAAGTTAATCAAATTTGCGTGACTAGGTCAGGTTTTCAGTCGCATCATATAATACTATTGACCATTATCTTTTAACATATTAATCATTTAAGCTGGGAATAATACACACCGCTAGGACAGCAGTCAATGAACTGATGAAAACTAAATTTACTTTTTCAGGCTAGTCCTGTCACACAACACACTGAAATCATATCTGAGTTTGCCTTTGGTCACTTAGCGTTTCCACCAAACGCGATCACTGATTTTACAGTACCGACTGTCTTCTGCTTTTTATATCATTCTCGGCTATACAGTAGGATAGAATGTACTAATGTTCTGCATATAAGGACCTTAGTAATCAAGTCAGTGACACTGATGACATAGGGTGATAACTGATGTATACCGTGGAAAATTCTTGATGACATTTTATGTGCTACCAGCTCTTGAGGCTTGAAGCAACTCTTCAAATAAGTAAAGTAGCTAACAATTTCAGCCTACTTACTCCCAATTCTGAAATGGTCGGCAGGAACAGACCGATCCCTGAGTGTCATTCTGCATCTGATAAGCGTAGATAGCATCTCAAGTATTTTCAGGTTTAAGCACATAGTATTCAGACTGTTGTGTCGTATTCCAACAAGATATCTTCTGCATAAAATAAGTAGAACAGCAATCCTAAGTAGGAAATCAGTAGCTCAGAATTTTTAAATCAACAAAGTTTCTCGCATCGGTACGCCTGTTATAAAGCTAGTCAAAAAAGTGCAAACCACATATCTGGTGCAAAAAAAGGGTTTTAGCAACACCAGATGAAAACTCTGCATAAGTCCCCCTGCATGATGGTCTGCAGAACAGATAATTTTCAAGCCGTCATTAATCTTAGTTTCAGAGGCGATCATAATTCACCTAACACTGTAGTTCGAATTTTACGGTGACGAGGTTTCACAGCTAAATTCAAGAGTTCTTCAACAAAGAATAGTTTCTTCTTTCGAAATGATAGTGAAACATGTATATATATATATATATATATATATATATATATATATATATATATAAAATAACAAGATATCACCGAAATTCAATAGATCTGTTTTATCCAGTTCCCATTGTTGTTCTTTTCAAATGTGATATAGGTATTTGAACAAACAGGGAATTAATTCATTCGGACATTTAGGAAAATGGGAGGCGAGTTGTTCATTTACTTTGAACACTGGTAATTCACTGATTTCTTTCAGTGCTCCAAATACTAAAGCTATACATCCAATCTCTTTTTCTCCAAACTGAATTACATCTAATTTTAGAAATAGATCAAGTTATTTGATTTCTTTCATTACTTCTGTGAGACAGTGGCTTACTGGTTTAAGCACTCAATTTTCAGGTGATGAGTCGCGCATACGAACCCCACTCCACCTATGAAAACCTGATAGTATCATTAATCCACACATGTGTGGCCTGCAAGATAGTATGTATGACACGTCCCAGGTTGGGTTACATTACTTTACTATCCATCATTTTTAATCCTACTTTGTTTCACTTCTCTGCACCTGTCAAACGGACATAAACCCATCATCCTTCAAATCTAGAGACATTTTTCACCTTGTTGAATTGGAAGATTATGTAATTATTACTCTTACCTGCTTGCCGTTGGTTGGTTTTGATGACCATTTTCCGTATTCATAACCAGTTTTGTCACGCTCTCGAAAACCAATCGGGTGAATTTAGTTTAGACCTGGTAAAACCTTTTCTGTCACAAAGCAACCGTCGTCTTCTAACATTTTCGTGGCTCAGTCAAGCAAAATGTACTAGGGGAAATAACCACTGTTCGTGAACAGTTACATGGCATTTGGGCATTCAGCATCGTTATTTATTTGCTTAAGCTTGTAAATCTAATCGGTAACTTCAAGCTTTTTCTGAACTACATTGAGCTTTCAAACAATCGACTGCTTATAATCATATGGTCGTAATCGTATGATCATTTTGAAACATGGCTTTAAAAGCAAGGTACCTGTGTGTATATGAGGAACTAGTATTGATTAGTTAGCCACATTTGTCAGATTTCGATTCCATGCTATTACCATGTTAGGGTTAAACCACATCTTTCATGTGGTAACCAAATTACTCTTGAGGGGAAAAATTGAAACTGACTGTGTAAACGTTTTCAATTCAGATATTTTCTCACAAAGATTCCTAACCAATTACGCCAAACAGATGAAATTGAGAACATCGTTCGCTGTGTCTGGATTTGGACATGATGGCTGTACAACACCAAATACAACAATGAGTCTGAAGGATCTGAATTTGCTTCTAGGGACAACTGTCAAGCCAAGAACTAGAACAAAAAAACAGCTGCTTACTGTTGATAGTTTTTGATGATTAAATTCACAGGGAAAAAAGGTCTGCGTTTAACAGTTTAATCGATTCCACAGAAAACCAAGAAATGCACAAACACCGTCTAATGCATTTATATAGAAATACTAGCCGAAAGCAGCCACATGAGAAGCTATATTTCCATTCATATACAAGAGAAAATCAGTACAAACGTGTAAAAATGAAAAAGGGTGGGGAAGGAAGGAATGAAAATACAATGCAATAACAGTATAATTGGACAAGTACATAAAAAGTGTCGTGATGTATCTGTATGTGAGATTGTGGCAACATACACACATGGAGAAAGTATAATCTGCTACGCTACATTGCAACATAATATTATAACCTGCTAGAGGAAAATACGCAGTTAACACTAATCCCAAGGGTAGATAGTAGAGTAGTTGTATTGAGACAGATCGTCAAGTGTGAGTGGGAGAAATAAAACTAACCATAAGTCAAGAAAAGTTGCATACTGTGCAATCAAGAACAGGAGCAACAAGAGATCGTCAAACAAGGAGAAAAGTTAGGATGGATGAGGAATGTTCAGCGAAAACCCTAAATCGGAGGAAATCTAACAAAGTAATAACGATTAAACCAAATTACACGACAAGAAAACAATGACGATAATAATAATATCAATAATACAAAGTGTTTAAGAGAGATCATTGAGTATCAGTAAGTAAATAATAGTGCAAACATTGCAAAAAATCTGTGCAAGATTTTACCGCTTACAATGGAAATATGTGGAAAAGGAACATCAAGAAAATCGACGTTCCAATCTGAATGATTCATCATTTTTCAGAGGAATCAAAGGAATTTTGATGACTTCTATCTCGTCGTCGCCGGATATCTACAGCAATAGCACCACAAGCTGGAGTGGCAGCAGTAGTAATAGTACTAGGAGTTGAGGCAACACTCGTAGTATTAGTGGTGGTACTGGTTATTAGAATCACCCCATTAGTGTTGTTAGAAGGAAGCGTCTGCAGATTCCTTTCATAAATTGATCGAATCTTAATAATTTTATTGGTAGTATACGCTTTCTTATCTGTTCTTGGTAAAGAGAGCTCATATGACTCAAGATTAGTACAGATTGTTTCATCGTCTTCATAGCCATCGTCGTCATCTCCATCGACATTATCATAATCATCACAATTCAAGTAATAAGTACGTGAAGTGAAATCACGAAATACATCATTGACTGTTTCATCGCTTAATGTGAAATCAGAGCTCTGCAAAAACAATTACAAAAACGAGAAAATATATACATCAATAAAATATAGACAAATTCAAGTCAAACAAGCGTAGAATGAACATATACTGTCCTATTAATAACTGAGATTGTCATCAAGTTTTTAATTCAAAAATACTCATGCGTTTCTATATATTCTATAAACTTTCTAGAAAAAGGTGCACGGGAGGAAAAAGAATTCAATAATCAAGGTTAGTGAGAACGTTGAATCTCTATACAACGTCAAAGAGCAAATACATTCTCACCATTGTGACCGATTTTCAGACATGTTGCCAACAATCTGCAAACGTTGATTGCTATGATCCCGGGGACTCCAACCAAATAACCTACACCTCCATACACGTCTCAGACCAACAGCCAGTGACTGTATAGACTGGTGCCACTTCTCAGTTTGACCATCCTGAGTTTTACTCCAACTCAATCCTACTTCAACCAACATTACATGTCGAGGTAGACGGTGGTTTGGCATGCTCAACACATGTCCAAGCCAAATCAGTCAGCAAAGGTTCACGAACACATCGAATGATCCGCCTTACCTATCCAGTACCCTTCTCCTAAACTCAACATGCCACGGAGACACATATGGTCGAAAACTTGCAATCTCTTCATGTCTCCTACTTTCAACAGCAATGTCTCACAATCACATAATAGGATAGAGCGGATTACAGCGCACTATAGTCATACGATAATAGGCAGTGGGGTATCTTATCAGTCGCTACGAGAAAGGACGCAAATTGATAGGTGCCTAACAGGTCTTCTGTATCTGAGCTGAAATTTCGTCACGGATCAGCCCGTTCAGGCAGATGCTGTTCCCCAAGTTACTGAAATGGTCGACACATTTTATCACTTCACTATCTATCCTCAGACAGGAAGTGGTTGTATAGTAGCGCTCTTGAGAAGCATCCTTTATTTTACAGGTGCGAAACGAATGACAAACATACTCAGATTTTTGCTCAAGGAGTTCACAAGACCCTGTATCATTTTGTTAGCGTCTTCGCCCAACATGACAATGTCATCTGCATATTTCAAGTCGACTAGATGATCTCTAGAGAGTGGATCAATTTCTCTGAAGTCATAGGTATCTGATGTCATTTCCACCAATATATCTGTAATGAAGTTGGACAGACAAGATGACATCAGGCATCCTTTCTGGACACCACTGGTTGTCGTCTCTCTATTAGCGCTTACACATCTGTTGGAGTTAGAGTAGACAGCTTTGATTAGTGTTACATACTCACGTACTCACCTCTCGGTCGATAGAATCAAATGCCACCTTCAGGCCAAGAAATGTAGGAAGTTTCAAGTTCCAGTTAGCATATCCGTTTTTCCGATCCTGTTGGAGGGTGACGATTCTATCGATGCACTCGTGTCTAGGTTTGAAGTCTCCTTCGAGTTAGCTGTTCTCGAGCTCCAGTTAGGCATTGGATAACTCTGTGTGCCGTGGGATCTTGGATATAATGTTAATCAAACTGATTCTCTAGGGTAGTCACAAGAAGACTTTCCTCCCTACCTAAATGATCACTGAATCAGATCAATGTGATGGGACCTCCTCTGATTCTTATATGCTGCCTAGTTCCTCTGTTACTCTTCTCAGTAGCTTCCTACCTCGCTCCTTACAAACCTCTGGTGGCAAACCATCAGGTCCTGCTGCTTTGCATCAATATCAACTACAAGAAGAGTTGGAGGACCAACATCTACGTCTCGTCCAGATTAGCAATGGATACTGCGCAACTGAAGCGTTGATGTGGACCAAACGGAATGTACTTGGATGTGCTCCGCCCAACGTTCTAGCCAGCTGTCCTGAGAGGTTATCGTAGTGTCATTCTCTTCCATGGCTTCGCTAACCATCAACTTAATACTACACCATATTTCTTCAGAATGAGTATTACAGTCACGTTCAGAAAAATGCCTAGCTATCTCCTTTCCGAATATGCACTTCACGTTCTTGTCTTTTAATCGAGCACACAGACGCCTCACTGCCATTTGCTTACTGTGTCCAAGGCACAAACGTTCACTTGTTCATACTAACGTGACTGGAGTCGAAACAGATACTCCAGAAAGAGCTGAAACCCTCCACCGATCCTATCCAATGATGGCTAATATCAATGTGATTTATCTGTCTTCATCATTGGTTTTCTGACCGTTAATGCCGTGTGAGATAGTGTCTCCCCTTAAGCGTGAAGTTAGTGCTGAACGGAAACGAGTGAGTGTCGAGACAAAGTTGCAAAACACAATCATCGTTGTCGGTTCGCTGGCATGAGACTTTTATAGATATCCCCAAGAAGCTTTTCCGATTGGTTCAGCTCAGCTTCCCCACTTCAGCGTTAAAAATCCGCTATTATGACTCCTTGTAAAAGCTTTGCTTCATGTACTAAAATTGACTGCTTCTCATAGAATTCATCCTTTGTATCATCCAAACTGCAGTCAATGGGTGCGTAGGTGAAGATATCAGCAAGCCTCATAATCCTTCATAGTTTTTATTTATCCATTCAGTCAAACGACACATAAACGGCAGTTGACTGGAATCCAGTCGAGGAGCGTACTTTCTGCCCTACAGCTCAATGCTATACCTACACCAGAAAGTCCACGACAGCTAGCCACTGAATCTCCGGATACTCGTACGGTGAATTTCGAAGATTCACTTCTATAGACAGATGAGGTCAATCTAATAACCTTGGGTACTGAATACGTATCTCAGAGACAGCTTACATACATGGTTTGAGATTCCCGAGTTCGGGCGAGTGATACCTGTCATCCTACTTGGCATAGGGTTCGGACTTTGAAAGCTCCCAAATGAAATCAACAGCAGGGTCTTACGAAACTAAGAATACGGTTTCAATGGCTTCGATCGTTAGCAATGGTCGTGGAGCGAGAGGTTGGTGAGGTGAGGATTAGCATTGGTATCAGAAAGTGAAGGAAAAGGAGGAGATGGAAGTGAGGGTAAATTGTGGCCAGTTGCTTTTTATATGGTACTGAAAGTGAGACACTTCCAGGGTGCCCACACCATGGAAGTTGTTTTTATAGGTTATCTGAAAGCGAAAAAAATTTGTGTGACCATAGAACCAATGGGATATCTGCTTGAACTCTGTCCAACATAACGTTTCGCGCGTTGTTGGTTTGAGATCTGGTTGTTTTAACGAAGAATAGGAAAAACCCTTAACACCGGCACCGGTATGCCTCAGGGCAGAAAGGAGTGGGCTATTCTTGAGGCCAACCTTTTCTAGCCCCCTTGACAAAAAGAATGTAGCATCAGCATGGTACTACTGGTCATTCGCGGAAAACACCCTCCTGCGGTCATATCCCATCCAGTAAGCAGTAAAGAGTCGCCCTCGAACTCCTACCATGGAGTAGACGTTTACACTATGATGGTAGTTGCTTTTCGGCTTACCATTATCCAATAGATCTACTTGGTATGGTGAGCCTGAACGAACAAGCGTTCCAGTCAGTATAGCTCGTTGGATCGTTGCTATATACAAGCCCGACCATATATATATATATATATATATATATATATATATATATATATATATATATATATATATATATAAAAACTATAGAGAGTATCTGTAGTACTGAATGATATAGAGATATGAAAATATTGAGTTGGGCGCCAAAAGATGACATCACTTCAAGTTGCCACACATGATATAAATGCATAAAGGTAAAAATCAATACAATCAATACAATATGACAATGAGCAAAAAGTGTGAGGTAACGAATAGACGTGTAGTAACCAGAAAGTTGAAGATTAGAGTAAGATAAAGTGTGATTGAATATTAAATGTCACCTAAAACTTTCGACTAATGTTTTCTAATACATCAAGGGCTTTTAAAATGAAAGTAGTGCTTTTCTACATCACTTACATAAACGGTTACCTTGGCATGATGATTATTAGATATATTTGTGTCGATGAGAAAGATGTAGAGTATAACAAGTCGCCTTGATCAAGTCAGGTTTAAGAGAGACGTAATTTAAGTTATCCAAATTTTCAACAGCATGCACTTAAACAGACAGATAAATCGATGTAGAACCTTGTATAGATGTCCGGTACTCGAAATAGCTACACCTCACAGCAGCCCGTCAAAAAGTGAACGGAAAAGAAACACTCGAAATTTCGAAAACGACATGGGGTGTATATATTTGCACGATTATGGTCAATCTTGAGCTATATAGATGAGAATAACCAAACGTCTATCCCTTTAGTCTTGGGCAGCCCAGTTAGAGAGCCATTACCTCATTGTGCAGCTCAAATAAACAGTGAGATACTTTTTGTATTGACCACACTTAACCTTTTCCTAGTCTAAACTTACTTCAGCTGACATTGAGAGTCAGAGTAGAAGGTTACTATGCATGTACAAAACATGTCCCAGTTAGCTTAGTCGACGAAGGTTTACGACTTTATTGAATGACTTGCTTCGTCTACCCGAGAATTCTACGCTTATAATTTGATGATTCTACAACCCATAACCACCAATGTTTACAAGGCGATGGACAGTCGAACATCTGAAGCCTTCTCATATTCAATCTTAATGCACACATTTCACTCCTGTGTAGTAGGACAGAGCAGGTTGTGATGCAGTTCATTCAACCATTAGTGGGAAATCAGATATCTCAACGGTATCACAGATGGTGTCACTCAGCGCGAGTTAATCAAATTTTCCGCATCTGTGCAGATATTTTATGGGTGATTGACTCACAAGGGCTGACCCGCCTTCCAGTGTAAGAGAAGTGGTCACTGCGCTCAATCACTTCACTCTCTGTCGTCAGACGAGAGACCAGTTTTGAGGTAGGAATGTGCATTTATATTTTATAGTATCGTTTTTATCAGAACATAAAATTGGAATATGGGTATCAAGGGATGCGCCATACAAAATAAAGATACAGAAGAGAGAATGGAAACAATAACAGAAGCGGGTTATTGCAGAAGTAATCTTAAAGATACATTCAAAGAAGTATTCCCTACTTTTGTTTTACTTCTCA